AGGGCCACTGGGCCTCAGGCTCACTGTGGGGGTTATAAGGACCCGTCCCCTTTATGCTGAGTTTTGTCCTGACAGAACCAGTATCTCCTCCACCCCACTCCTGCCACGCTATTCAAATGAAGGTTGGAAACGGTCTTCTGGTCTCCCTGGGTTCTGAGCAGGGTGCCCATCTCAGGGGGTCCAGCCAGCTGGTTCAAGTAGGAAGGCATCACTCTCTGGGGCTAGGCCGGAAGTCATTCCCATTAACACAATGTCCTATGTGCCTAAAAATGGCCTTGGTCTCTAGTGTTGCTTTCCCCGTGTTTTCTTTTCCTGTCCATGAGCCTATATGCTCTTTCTTCTGGTGAGTTGCACCTGATGGCGAGACAACCACATCGCTGGGCAAAGGCGCCCTGGTAAGGTAGCTCCCGGCCCATTCTCCTGAATTTGGGGGCGTGCTAACCTTTGAGAACAGGCTCTGGCAACTCACCCGCAGTCTCAGGCCGCTGAACTTCATGCCAGCCCTTCCCAGCCGCAGACGCAGGGGCAGGAATTCCTCATCTCTCGGCCCCCTTCCCGCCCAGCGCCTTCCCCTCTGGTCCCGGGCCAGGCGTTTGCACCGAGTGGTGTTTACCGCCCTCTCGTGGCGGAGGATTTTTGTTCTTTCCAGAATATCGTCTGACTTAAAAGTTGCTGAGGAAATCTAACAGACCAAGCGCGGCAAGAATAAATGCCTGCGTACAGGCGTTATTTTATTTATATTTGAGTGTCGGGCTTAGTGATGGAGGAAGGAAATAAGTTGTAGCCACAGATTTTTAGAATCTGAGCAAGTCTAATCCTTGCTGATATCGAAGAACCAAAAAGGCTCCAAACAAATGGATACCTTGTTTTTCCTTGACCAGGGCCCCGAATCTGCATTTGAAAAATGAACTTCATGTGATTTATTACCCATTGGATGTACTTTTCACGCAAGGGTTCAGTGAAACAAGTTTGTACCCTACGACTGCTGAAGTTAGAATTTCAGGGGTTTGTGATTTTTTTAAAGTCAGATCTTAGAAAAAAATGTTTTCCTAAATTACATTAGAACTGTTTTCCATCCATTTCATTACAATTTAATTTTTATGGTTCTAATATAAATTTTTATTTTAGACTTGGTTTTTAAGGAATGTGTCTAATTTGTGATGACTTGTTTTTACTGTAGCACTTAGGAATATACCTTCTGATTATTGCTATTTATTACTCTTAAATTTTTGTGTAGTGTGCAATACTGAAGACACATAAAAAGTATTTAAGCAATAATTTGATGAAAACATGCATATCCACCACCCAGCTTGGGAAATAAATGCTGCCATCACAGTTAAATACCTCTGTGATGGTTTATTTTTTAATCCCTTTTTTTTATTAAGGTATCATTGATATACAATCTTATGAAGGTTTCACATGAGCAACATTGTGGTTACAACATTCACCCGTATTATCAATTCCCCATCCCCACCCCATTACAGTCACTGTCCGTCAGTGTAGTAAGATGCCACAGAGTCACTGCGCGTCTTCTCTATGCTGTGCTGCCTTCCCCGTGACCCACGTACATAATGTGTCCCTTATTCCCCTTTCCGCCCCCTCCCCACCCCTCCCCTTTGTGTCTGCGACACAGCTGTGAACAAAACAGCCTCAGGTCTCTGCCCCGAACAGTTTTTAAAAAGTTATTTATTTTAAAAAATTGTGGTAAAATATGCATAACACCAAATGTGCCACATTAGCCATGTTTAAGCAGTGTGCAGTTCAGGGGCCCTGAGTGTGTTCTCACTGCCGTGCAGCCAGCACCACCATCAGCTCCGTAAGGCTTTTCATCTTGCAAGAATGAAGCTCTGCCCATCCGGTGCCAACCCCATTTCCAGGAGGGTGTCCTCGCATCGCCCTGTGCGGTTAAGTGATTTGCTAACTCGTCTTCAGAAAGAGTGAATAATGTATCCAAATGGCCTTTATAACAAGTACACAACGTGCTAGTGGTCCTTCCGCGCTCTCTTGCCAGTGTCTTCAACTTCCTTGTCCCACTGACCTCCTGTCCCTTCCCCCTGGAAAGCCCCCCAGGGCCAGTCTGCACCGCCTCCTCCGAGCCCGCAGTGGATCTGGACGCGCACCCAGCAGGGCGAAGGGCCCCCCTGGCATGAGCATGTCTCTGGTTGCCTGCTGCCCAAGCCTCCAGCAGGTTCTGTGTTTCTCCCTCCCCAGCCCTTCCCCTACCCCCATGCCAGCAGGGGACCTCAGAGACCCTTCTGGCAGGCCCCTTCTCCTTCCAGCATTGAGCCCAGGAGCCTGTGAGCATCTGCATCCCTCTGTCCCATCCTCCTTTGAAACCAGAAACTTCTGTCTTCCCCACAGCTCTGCGCCTGGGCCTCCCCACCGTCAGGCACTGTATCCCCATAGTCCGCCTTCCAGACCCCCTAACACGTGCATCTCACCTGGCTCAAGTTTCTCCAATTAAGTGAGAACTAAATACTCCCACTCAACAGGCTTTGCCAAATTTAGCAAATAAAAAAACACGGGGTGCCCACGTACATTTGAATTTCAGATGAACAACAGATAGTTTGGAGTGAAAGCATGTCTCACATATTGCCTGGTACATATTTACACTGAGAAGTTATTCACTGTTATCTGAAGTCCACATATGCCCGGGTATCCAGCGTCTTATCTGGCAGCCCGACCCAGACCCCACGTGCCTCCACTTCCCACGGCATCCCCTTCTGTCACTGCCACCCTGAAGGGTTTGCGCACACTTGCTGTCTCTCCCCACCATTCCCAGGTTCCTGAGCTGGCCTTCTGTTCAGGTGACTGCCTGGCTGCTAAAGCCAGCATGCATTTTATCGTTACCTCTCCAGCCTCCTGGTGCTCTTTGACTAGACTCTGCTCCCACCTGCGGATCCCAGAGACCCTGTCCTGGGCCTCGCGGCACCTCTCTTCCCTGCCCGTCATGCCCTGCCAATGCGGCCCCTCTGCAGGGGTGTCCCCACAGGGTCCACACTGACTCTGGACCAGCGCCTTCCTGCCCTGGTCCCCCTCCAGGGTGGAGGCTCTGCCACCCCCCAGCCGCCCACTCAGCCGGAACCAGGTCTGTGCCCCTCCACCAGACCACTGTCTCCCGGGCATCCCCCTGCCCCCATCTGGCCTCCCAGGGTGGACCAGCCTCTCTTAATCTCTGTCCCTCACTGGAATCCGGGAGCTCTCTGAAATGCAAACCCAACTGTATCCTTTCCCTGGCTCCCCAGGGAAGTTTACAATCTAAGTTTACAATCTAAATTTCTTTATTAAGTATGGATACCTGGTCCCTGCTGGCCCTGCAGCTTCCTTCATCTCCCCTCCATCCCAGCACCAACCGCCCTCCCCTGCACCCCCCATTTGCCTGGGCCCTTTGCTCCTTCTGGGAAACACACAGCCTGAGTCTCGGTACCTCCTGCCTGCACCCCTCTCAGCGGGCCCGGAGGCCCGCGCAGGCCCAGAGGCCCCTGCAGGCCCAGATGTCTCTGGGAGGGCAGCACCGCCAACTATTTTCACAGTCTTATTAGTCTTATTCCTGCCACGTAGTAGGCTTGGCTCCATTATCAGGTGGCGTTTGTCAGTGCCCTGGAGCCAAAGCCCTCGGTGAGGGGGTGGGGGTGGGGGGTGCTTGTCCGCGCGTCCTGCAGGGTGCCTGACACTCCAGAGCACCTGGAGGGACAAGGGGCCACTGGCATTTCAAACTCAGCCCCTTCAACGGGGCTTATCAGATCGGCCCCTTTCATGAATTTATAAAAAACATGTTTGAAAGGTTTCTGTGACAATTCATCCGAAGTACAGCCAGCAGAGTCAATACCGACGTGAAAACAGCATTCATTGTCATGTGACCGATGAGGCAGGAGTTGGGAGCAAAAGAAACCTCAGACTCCCCATCTTCCACCTACCTTGCCACTGAAATCTGCTTCCAAGGTTTACAAAGAATGGCACGTCACTTCTTTAACAGCCTTCATGATTTGATGCTGCAGTAGTAACATGAAATTTAAAACAAGCCAACTTTTTCCTTCAGTAATCTTTTTTTTCTATGGAAATGGTAGATTTGCATTTTATAATAGAGTCCTTTTCAAAAACATGGGTCATGATCACTGTCCTAGCAGAACCGCCCTGTCACCCCTACCACCACCACCCCCAGACCACATATAACTCACCCAGGCTATGGCCCACGGGCACATCCCACCCACACATGGAAAGATCTGCTTTGCAGAGGAGAAAGACACCCACTTCAGCAGCTATACACCCCTCATCTCAAAAGTTTCCATCAGTGATAGTGATATCTTCCACCAGAGAGGGAAATAGAAATTTCTTTCAAAAGTGACCTAAGCTTGTGTTCAAGCACTTAGAAAACGGTATCTGACTTGTATGCCCTACATATGCCCCTTTATCTTGACTGCAGAAATGCACATTTATTTCTATTTAACTTAATTATTGGGTTTTCTAAAGTAACCCCCCAAAGGGGATCATTTTATTCTGTCTTGATTTTTCTTTCTTTGTTAACTTCCACTTAGGGGGAAAGATAGGTCCAAGTTCCTGTGTTTTTCATTTATAACTTCTATACATTATACCAAAATATGCTATGATAAACATGTCACACAGTCTTTAATAAACACAGCCTCTGTCAGAGAAACAGCATAAACTCTGGTTTTCTGTGTTTATAATCTGGGATGAATGAGGTTAGCTGAGTTCCGTGGGCGACCCAAGCCCGGAGGGGACGACTGGGCCCTTTGTGCATATGGATAACGGACAAAAGAGAACTAAACACAGGCATTTAAAGCCAGGAGGGGAAACCACACGAGGGCCTATAGCACCGGTCTCGAGGGCTTCCACCAAGCCCTGCCCCTGAAATGGCCTGCGTACACTCCCTAAGCTTTGTTTTCCTCCTGCTTTAAAAGGATTGTACCACCAGTGATTATCCCCTTACTCTTCTCAGAATACCAGGTCCACAAGACAAAAAGCCAAATGAAAGGACTTCATCTATTTAAATTAAAATAACACATTTTTTTTCCGGAACACATGTAAGTACATCATACACCAAAGCATAAAAAAAAAAATACCTCCTTTAGAGAGGACAGGAAAGAAGGTGCACCTACTATTACATTTCTTAGAGGTAGCGAGTCCCCTGGAATGTTGCTGAAGTTTAGATCCAAATTACACATGAAAGAGCCACTGGTTAAATCATGTGCAATTAAATGCCCCTTTTCTTTCTTGTTCAGAAAAATCATTTGGTAAAATTCAACATCCATTGATGATCTAAAACTAAAAACTAACCCTCTTCACAAACCAGGAATAGAAAAGAACTTCTTAACCCAATCAAGTATATTTCCCAAAAACCTTGACGGCATCCCCTATAAATAAGATGAGAAAAGGCTGCTGCATCATATTGGAGGTCCTTGCAATAAGCCAACTAGTACTTCAAGCAAAAGAAATAAAGATAAAGGACTAGACCGTCTATATCAAAAAAACCCAGAAGTATCTGTGTACATAGTATTAGAGATAATAGGACAATGTAGCAACGAGGCTGGCTGTGAACTAATATAAACAAATCTGCTCCATCTCTACAGTCCAACAACAAACAAAGGCATCTGAAAAGCAACAACGAAGCAAAGTACCTAGAAATAAATCTAATACAAGATGGACAATTTCTGGAGAAACTTCATAAAACTTTGTTGGACATTAAATTAAATACTTGTCCTACCAGATATCAAGAGCTATTATAAAGCTGCTTATAAACACAGTGTGGTATTGGCACAAGGATGGACTAACTGACCAATGAAGCAGAATGGAAATCCCACAGACAGACCCACAGATGTATGGAAATTTGGTAAATGACAAGTGTGGCATCGCAGATCCACGGGGAGAAGAACAAATGGGTCAGGTGGTTGGTTATCCATACACAAAACTCAAAACTGGATCATTACTTCACAACACACATAAAAATCAACTCTTAATAGATTAGACTTCAGTGCAAAAGACAAAACCTAAACTTTCAGAATAAAATATGAGGAGATATCTTTATGATTTGGGAGCAGGGAAGGAGTTCTTTAACCAGGAAACAAAAAAGTGTTAACCACATAAAAAAAAATAAATTTGACCGAATTAAATTAAGAAGTTTTCTGCTTATTACCAGAAAGACAAAGACCTAATTAAACAGAGAAGAAATTACAAACAACACAGATTATTTCTAATACTGTACGTGACCAGTGATTACTATCTAGAATATATAAAGAACTTCTGTGAATCAATAAGAAAAGGACAAACAACTGAGTTTAAAAAAATGAGCAAAAAACATAAGCATTTCACAAAAAATGAAACACAGATGATATAAAAGTGTGTAACAAGTTGCTCATTAGTAATCGAGGAAACGCAAAGGAAGCCCAGAGTGCGCTGCCAGCTCAGACTCACCAGACTGGCAAGGTTCAGGGTCAGATAATACCAGAAGGTGGCAAGGATGGGGACGCACCCTGCTCACAGGAGCATGAATTAGAACAACCACTTTGACAAGCAATTCAGCGTTGCAGTAGGCTTTTCATCATTCAGAAATATTTTTTCTGCCCCTCCTATGTGAAGAATATCCTTTGTGCCCTATTGATGACCAGCTGCACTGCATGACTTGCTTTAAAGGTTAGAAGCTAACCAATTAAATACGAGCGAAGCGACGTCTATCTCTTTGCCGTAAGACAGCCAGGGTTCCAAACAGAGGCTCTTCCCTCCACCTAACTCCCAGATGAAGTGCCATGGGACAGAGCCGCAGCCAGCCTGCAACAGCAAGAAATGTGTCTCTGTTTTTTTGCTGTGATCCATTAAGATGTGAGGGGGGAGAGTCACGTGTTGTTTCTGCATAACTCAAAGTTGAACCATGAAGCTGAACGTTCAGATGCCCTAAGATCCTGAAATCCCACTCTAAGGAAGCTTCTTACTTTCTTACTCTTGCAAGGGAGACACATAAAAGAATATTCATACCAACATTACCTATAATTGCAAAAAACCTGGAAACAACCCAAATGTCCTTTAGTTTAGAATGGACTGATAAATTATGGTATATTTGCAAAATTTTACAGCAGTCAAAAATGAATGCATTCTAGCTACATTCAACAACATGATTCTTATAAATATAATTGTGAGTGATTAAAGCAAGTCCTTACAACATGATAGCATTTTCATAAAGCTCAAAAACAAGGATAACTAAATAACAGTTTTAGGGTACATGATTATGTGATAAATGACTTTTTAAAGTAAGAGAATGAAGGACTTGACATTTCTGAGAAGGACTGCCTAGGATGGGGTGGGGAGGTAGGCAGAAGGCAAGAGAGGCAAGCAGCACACGGACAGGTGCCTGACCTTGGCTCTGACCCTATAAAGGGTCATATGACTATTTTAGGCTTTGTGGGCCATAAAGTCTCTTGTTACACTACTGACTCTGCTGTAATGCCAAAGCCACCTGAGCATGGTTGTGTTGCAATAAAACTTTATTTTGGACTCTAAAATTTGAGTTTCCTATAATTTTGTGTGTCATGAGATGGTATTCTTCTATTGATTCGTTTCTAACTATTTAAACATGCAAAACGCATTCTCAGATGATAAGCCATACAAAGGCAGGTGGTGCCTCAGGTTGGGCCCTTGGGAGTTTGGCGACTTTTGCTGTAGTCTAGGGGCTCAGTCTTCATTCTGACGGTTCATTCATACCTGCCTCATTTATTACTGTGTGTGTCCAGTTTAAGGTTTTTAAGCATTAAAGGAAAACATAAGCCCTGCTTCAGAGGGAAGCAGAGCAAAGGCATAAAATGTAAGGGTGGAGAGGAACAGAGGGCAGGCAAAGACTTTTCAACTCCTTCCAAAGCTCTTCCTCAAGGCCTAATGTGTTTTTGCCCCTGATCCCAAGCTTGGGCATGTCATGATTCCCTCCCCCACTTTGAAAAAGGTCATTGTGTTGAATGACTGAACCAATGCAAAATGTGGTTGGGGATAGGTCCTGTGTCTTATGGCTTATTATCCTACGTTACATTAGCACACACACAAAAAACTGAATTAATGTTGATCATAATTTTTGGCTGGATCATTGGCCTACATGATAAAATTTTAAATTTCATACTCTTTGGATTTCAAAAAGGCTAGTCCAAGCCTTTTAGACAGTATGTAGAAAATACCCATTTACCTCTGCTCTGTCCCATATTTCTGTCCTGTTAAGTGGTACATTTTTAAAGGGCAGTTTGTTAGCGTTTAGAAAAAACTTGCTGCAGGTAATTCAGGGTATTACCCACGATGGCGTTTTTCAATTTAGAAAGATATGATAGCGGCGTCACTCTTATTTTCCCTTTTCTTCTTCTCAAGAGAATCCCAACAGCTTTGGGGGTCTCCGCTTCACAGTTCATATTCTCCTTCTTCTTCTTCCGGAAATCGGCAACTACAGGCGTCCTCCTCTTGGACCGTTTGCACTGGTTTCATAAATGCTAAAAAGCAATTGAAAAGCAACTTATTTTTTGTTGTCTGTTTTAGTCAATTAACACTCAGTTTCCATTAAGTCACAGTCACCAAACTTCACTCAGCAAACACTCTCAAATTCAATTTGAACAAACTCATCAACAAGAGATGTAATAGCAAGTACGACCTTTTTCTCAGGAGTATTTAAGATCTTTTTCTTTTTAACAAACTGGTCCTGAAAAACTATTTTCTTTATTTTCTACACTGGCTAAAAAGTCTTGAGCATGCATCACGATAGCATAACATTAATCATGTCCCAAACATAAGTGTAGTTTCCATTTGACAGCATATATCTTAGACTTGAAAGTTATTTAGGTGACATGTTAAACAGTTTCTTTTGAATGAAATGCTTACGGCACCAAGACGTTAAAGAGACCCCCACTATTTCCATCTATTAGTAAGTAAAGAGCGGATTTATGCATTAGCTTCCAGGTTTTCTTCTACATGTTAGTGGGAAGTATTCATGATACTGCTGAGCAACTTTTCATCCTTATAGATGTGTTTTAGAGCCTGACAAAGCAAAAGGTTCTGTCCCAATTTTACATGCTGACCACTGTAAAAACCAAGCAAAGGAGACAGGCTTAAAGATGGTGGCATGAGAGGTGAGACGGAAACCTCCTCCAAAACCCACATATAATATGAAAATATGGCAAATACAACTAATCCTGAAAGAGCAACAGGAAAGAAGGCTGCCACAGACTGCCTACACCTGGGGAAAGAGCAGACCTCATGGAAAAGGGTAAAGTAGCAAAGCAGCGATCCAGAGGGACCCAATCCCCTCCCCCACCCCAGCTCACTGGAGGGAGGAAGAGAAATGGAGAGGCGAAGGGTGGAGGCCTAGGACTGCTGAACACCCAGCCTTGGAGATCTGCTCTGGGAGCATGAACCTACATTACATAGTGTGCTGGAGATTAGTGGGGTTGGCAAGCTAAGACAGGTGGAATACTCAGAGAGACTGAGATTCCAGCTACTTGTGGAGAACAGGTACCCACAACCAGCTGTTCTGGGACAAAAGAAAGATGGGCACTCTGAGAGACTTCCTAACAGCAAGGAGGCTTCCAAAGGGGCAAGGATTGCACACAGCTTGCTGCTCAGGAGAAATGACAGGTGGACAAAATTGTCTGGGCGCACTCAGCCCAGCCCAGGGAACTTTTGGGAGCTTCAGGCACTCCATCCCTCTGGCTGGAAATGCAGCTCCGAGGCCCCCCACCATGATACATAGCCTACCACTCCTTCCTCCTGGCTGGCACTGACTGGCAAACCTGTTGCCCCTGCCATTGTGCCAGGCCAACCAGAGGGCAGCCCCGCCTACAGCAGATATACGGGTATAGCATAGAGGTTCCTCCTTGGGTGCTCAACCCAGTGGCCCTGGCGGTAGTGGCAGGCACTGTACCCAGGAAGCAGGAAAGAGCTCTTTCCTCTTGGCAAGCCCCAGCACCACTCACCTGCAAACCCAGCCATCACTCCAGCTGCTGAGCAGCTCCATAGAGTAGAATGTCTGGGCACTAGAGGGCGCTGCCTATGCCAAGTTATTCCATATTATTCATTACAAATATAAAACATCAAAAGAACCTGGTACAAACCAAAATCCCAGAAACACCAGAAAGAGGGCCAAGTGAAACAAATCACCAATCTTCCGGATGAAGATTTCAAAATAAAAACCATAAACATGCTCACGGAAGTACAGAAAAATATTCAAGACCCCAGGAAGGAATTCAAGAAAGAGATAGAAACTTTGAAAAATACAGTATCTGAAATGAAACATACAATGGAGGGATTTAAAAGCAGAGAGGAGATGTTAAATGAAATATAAATTAGAGAACAGGAATACAAAGAAGGTGAGGCACAGAGAGAAAAAAGGATCTCTAAGAATGAAAGAATATTAAGAGAACTGTGTGACCAATCCAAACAGAACAATATTCACATTATAAGGGTGCCAGAAGAAGAATAAGAGAGAGAAAGAGATAGAAAGTGTCTTTGAGGAGGTAATTGCTGAAAACTTCCTCAATCCTGATAAGGAGATAGTCTCTTAGGCCATGGAGGTGCACAGATCTCCCAACACAAGGGACCCAAGGAAGACAATACCAAGACACATAATAATTAAAATGGCAAAGATCAACTAAAATGACAGAGTATTAAAAGCAGCCAGAGAGAGAAAAAAGATCACATACAAAGGAAAACCCATCAGGCTATCACCAGATTTCTCAGCAGAAACCTTACAAGCTAGAAGGGAGTGGCATGATATATTTAATGCAATGAAACAGAAGGGCCTTGAACCAAGAATACTCTACTCAGCAAGAGTATCATTTAAATTTGAAGGAGGGATTGAACAATTTCCAGATAAGCAAAAATTGAGGGAATTTCCCTACCACAAACTGTCTCTACAGTGTATTTTGGAGGGACTAATATAGATGGAAGTGCTCCTAATGTTAAATACCTTTCACCAGAGAAAATAAAATCACAGTAAAGGAAGTAGATCAATTAATTCCTATGCAAATGTAAAATTAAATCAGCTACCTCCAAAGTCAGTCAAGGGATACAAAAGAGTACAGCATATGACACCTAATATATACAAAAAGGGGGAGGAAGAAAAAGAGGGGAGATTAAAAAGAACCTTTAGATTGTGTTTGAAATAGCATAATTAGTGAGTTAAGTTAGACTGTTGGTAGTAAAGAAGCTGCCCTTGAACCTTTGGTAACCATGTATCTAAAGCCTGCAATGGCAATAAGTACATATCTATCGATAACACTTTACGTGTAAATGGACTGAATGCACCAATCAAAAGACATAGAGTCACTGAATGAATAAAAAAAAACAAGACCCATCTATATGCTGCCTACAAGAGACTTCCTTCAAACCCAAAGACACACACAGACTAAAAGTGAAAGGATGGAAAAATATATTTCATTCAACTAATAGGGAGAAAAAGGCAGGAGTTGCAGTACTTGTATCAGACAAAATAGACTTCAAAACAAAGAAAGTCACAAGAGACAAAGAAGGACATTACATAACGATAAAGGGGTCAGTTCGACAAGGGTACGTAACGATTATAAATATCTATGCACCCAACATAGGAGCACATACATATGTGAAACAAATACTAACAGAATTAAAGGGAGAAATAGAATGCAATACATTCATTTTAGGAGACTTTAACACACCACTCACTCCAAAAGACAAATCAACCAGACAGAAAATAAGGACACAGAGGCACTGAACAACACACCAGAACAGATGGACCTAACAGACATGTACAGAACACTCCACCCAAAATCAGCAGGATACACATTCTTCTCAAGTGCACATGGAACATTTTCCAGAATATATCACATACTAGGCCATAAAAAAGAACCTCAGCAAATTCAAAAAGATAGAAATTGTACCAACCAGCTTCTCAGACCACAAAGGAAAGAAACTAGAAATACACTGTACAAAGAAAACAAAAAGGCTCACAAACACAGGGAGGCTTAATAACATGCTCCTAAATAATCAACTGATCAATAACCAAATCAAAACAGATATCAAGCAATATATGGAGACAAATGACAACAACAGCTCAATGTCCCAACTTCTGTGGGACACAGTGAAGGCAATTCTAAGAGTAGTGTATATACAGATTCAGGCCCATTTAAAGAAGGAAGAACAACCCCAAAGGAACAGTCTAAATTCACAATTAATGAAACTGGAAAAAGAAGAACAATTGAGACCCAAAGTCAGTAGAAGGAGGGATATAATAAAGATCAGAGAAGAAATAAATAAAATTGAGAAGAATAAAACAATAGAAAGAATTAATGAAACTGAGAGCTGGTTCTTTGAGAAAATAAACAAAATAGATAAACCCTTAGCCAGATTTATCAAGAAAAAAAAGGCTACACACATGAACAGAATCAGAAATGAGAAAGGAAAAATCACAATGGACACCACTGAAAACAAAGAATTATTAGAGAATACTATGAAAAACTGTATGATAACAAATTGGGTAACTTAGAAGAAATGGACAAATTTATAGAAAAATACAACCTTCCAAGAGTGACCCAGGAAGAAACAGAAAATCTAAACAGACCAATTACCAGCAATGAAATTGCATCAGTAATAAGAAAACTACCCAAGAACAAAACCCCTTGACCAGATGGCTTCATCATGTAATTTTATCAGACATTTAGAGACCTAATAACCATCCTCCTTAAAGTTTTCCAAGAAGTAGAAGAGGAGGGAATACTTCCAAACTCATTCTATGCGGCCAGCATCACTCTAATCCCGAAACCAGACAAAGACACCACAAAAAAGAAAATTACAAACCCATATTGCTGATGAACATAGATGCAAAAATACTCAACAAAATATTAGCAAAACCGAATTCAAAAATAAATCAAAAGATCATCCATCATGATCAAGTAGGATTTATTCCAGTGATGCAAGGCTGGTACAATATTCGAAAATCCATCAACATACACCACATCAACAAAAAAGACAAAAATCATATGATCATCTCCATAGATGCTGAAAAAGCATTTGACAGAATTCAACACCCTTTCATGATAAAAACTCTCAACAAAATGGGTATAGAGGGCAAGTACCTCAACATAATAAAGGCCATGTATGACAAACCCACAGCCAACATTATATTTACAGTGAGAAGCTGACAGCTGTTCCTCTAAGATCAGGAACAAGACAAGGATGCCCACTTTCCCCACTTCTATTCAACATAGTACTGGAGGTCCTAGCCATGGCAATCAGACAAAACAAAGAAATAAAAGCATCCAGATTGGTAAGGAAGAAGTTAAACTGTCACTGTTTGCAGATAACATGATATTGTACAGAAAACACCCTTAAGAATCCACCCCAAAACTACTAGAACTAATAACTGAATTCAGCAAAGTTTCAGGATACAAAATCAATACAGAGAAATCTGTTGCATTCCTATATACTAATGATGAACTAGCAGAAAGAAATATCAAGAAAACAATTT